TAAGTTGTACCTGTTTATCTGCGACCCTCTCTCCTCTACGGCCTTCTAAAACACTCAGATCAAAGGTGATTTTTCAGCTCCAATTTTAAATGTTGCACAACATAGCAAGAAGAGCTCAGTGTAATCTGAGACCTAAGTGGAGGGAATGGACACCCCCCTCTACACAGTCTCATAGGGAAACATGCACAGCTGGGACTTTCAATCACCTTCTGTGTGTTTGGAATCTCCCAAAATGCTGTGGTGTTGGCATGCCCTGTCAGAAAAGACTAATACAAATGGCAGAAGGAAGAGAGAGCAGACAGAAATTACACTCAGTGCTTTGGATTTAGGCAAATGCACACTATAAAGGGATATGCTTTGTTCATTTTTCATTTCAGATGTGTGCAACCACTTTAAGAAAATGCCTTGGACATTCCTCAAAAAACTTGGCACAATACACAATAAGGTATGTGATTGACACTACACCTCTTTGTCCAGCCAAACCATAATGATGTGAATCGGTCCTATCAATCTGACAAATGCCTGCCAAATCTCCGTCCCTGATGACGTCATTGATGACGAAACACACCGGGTGGAGCCAGAGCGAATGATGTCATCATGCTCCGGAACGTGGCAGCCATATTAAACGTTGGAGACAAGTCATTTTTGGACATGGTGACATGCTGTTTTAATAATTTAATTATGTACGTTTAATACTATAGTAGACATTAAAAATGTAGTGTTTATTACACTAGGAGGATTTCTGTTTCCTTTCAACTTCGATTGTCCTCTATGAGGATAACATTTATTTAGGTGTATCTGTTGTAAGCTTCCTATTGAAGATCAGGATCCTTAAGGAATACATTCAGTTCAGTGGTCGCTTCCAGGCAGCACACAACGCTTATTGACCTTTCCTTTGGGAGTCAATGCCAGCTGGTAAGGGACAGTGTGGTTGGTGTTGGTGAAGAATTTCTCCCATTGATAGTTTCTTGGGCACCTATTAGATATCTGTTGGGTCTTAGCTGATGGACCTTTTTATTTCTTATATAAAAGCTTTGGGTTGGACTTTTTGTTACATGGAAAAACCTATTTAAAAATTTGCTTCAGGGCTGCACCCTCTATGTATATATGTTTATGTATTGTAACCTGCAATATTGTGCTAGCTGCTTGTGTGGGGTATACCTACTGAGCTTGAACGGACCCTAGCGCAATATAGTGTATTTTTTTTTATAAATCTACGTATACATGACAGGTCCCCTTTACATGAGTTGGAGTAAAAATGTTCTCTGTTATATAGAGAGGAGCAAAAGTTTGCTGTTACATTACAGTCATAAAACAAAACTTATAAGTCTCCCAATTAGGAGGGGAAATGTGGGGCAGTCATTGTACTGTGTCGCTGTCATTTTAAACCAAACCTAAAAATAACATTGTAGCAAAATGATGGAATGTATTCTAAAACGAAGATCAGAGTTTTCCTGGCAAATCCCAGACATCGTTATCAAGTTTTGAACGGGCAGGAAAGAGCAAGCAAAGCACAGATGGTTCATTTAGCGAGTGGCGAGTCATATTTTATCTAAGCCTCCTCAGGTGTTCCGTCTCCATGTATAATAATATCAGGCTGGCAACTGTTGTATAAATCCGAAACTCTATTTCTGTCCTCCTCTATGTCTAATGTCTCAGGTTTAATGTCCCTCTGAATTTTTTACTTTTTTTTTATTTTTTAAGAGAAGTTGAAATTGAAGTTGAAATTGAAGTTTAAAGCAGCATTAAAACCAAAATGTAAAATGTAATATATTGCAGATTACCAATCATCCGTTTTCTTTTCTCAAGTTTTTTCCCTTCTGTTTTCACTTCATCTGGCCAGTAACACACCTCCTGTATTAGTGAGACACATAACTGGAGGAATGTGATAGGAAGCACAGCAGATAGTAGCATTGTCAGTCTGGGGGAGGGATGGGAGTAATAAATGTATTAGCAAATTTAGATACGCTAACAAACTCCAGCTCACACTTTATAATTAGTTACAACAAGCATTTTTTTTTCCTTTCAGAGCTAAGTGGTTTGTCTCATCTATGTAAACTGATAGAGAGATGTGGTTTGAAAAACAGCAGACAAAAACAACAACCAGGCTGGCTGGTTCACCAGATGAAAACAGAAGAAAGAAAGCCTAAAAAAGGAAACTAATGCAGCCATCACACCTAACAATTGGTAAGCTGCAACATAATAAATGTTTGTTTTTGGGTTTAATATTGCTTTATTCCGCTTATATTTTGCCTTCCCAAAATACTGTAAATCTACTTTTATTACAGTTCTTATTTTAGACCCATTGATGTCATCACTGGATCTCTGTACTTCTCTATGCAATGCAGATCCACATCATGGCTGGTGTTAGTGGCCAGCAGGGTGCTACTGTTCATAACCTAAAGTGGTTATACAGGTTGAAAGTTTTTTCTATGCAGTAATGTAAAAAAAACCCTAAAACTACCTGAGTCCGATTTCAATCCAGCGATGTGCACGGGAGCTGTGGGTCTTCATGGTCTCTCTCTTCTCATTGGCTGAGACACAGTAGTAAAAGCCATTAAAGAAAAAAATTTACTTTTATAACTACGTTAACAAGTATATCACAATACCCTGCCTCAGTGCTTCTTTTAAGAGCCCTAAGCCCTGATGCAAGCAGTGGGAGGGGTTATGCAAATATAAAAATGACTTGACGGGTGGACGTCAGTTTGGAAAAGTAGCCATTCCAAACAAAATGTAAGAAAAATATATATGAAATATATTTTTAAAATGTATGCTTCCCAAAATATATTGCCATATATTTGAAATGCTACAATTTTGGCCATATTCAATATATTTCAAAATATATTTCAAAAAAAAATATATATATACTGCATGTTAAAATGCGTTTTTATTACAAAATATATGAAAAATATTTTTAAAAATACATTTAAAAATATACTGTATGCCTTTAAAAATACAAATCTACATTTTTGGAATGCATTTACAAATATATGTAAAAATATATGTTAAAATGACTTTTTTATATGTTAAAAAAAATCTGAAAAAAATATATTTAAATAAAATTTTTTAAAGATATACAGTATATTTGAAATGTATTTTAAAAAATATTTTTTGTATATTTTGCAATAAAAATGCATTTCAACATGCAGTGTATATATATATATATATATATATATATATATATATATATATATATATATATATAAATATATTGAATATGGCCAATGTGGGCCCAAAATTGGAGCATTTCAAATATATGGCAATATATTTGGGAATAATATTTTTAAAATATATTTCAAATATATTTTTCTTCCATATGGGAAGGCAGACTGTATTTCCATGCAGACCACCCTAGCTTATGTGAAGCGCAGTCTCTTGACAAATTGAAATATATTGAATATGGCCAAAACCGTAGCATTTCAAATATATGGTAATATATTTGGGAAGAATATTTTTAAAATATATTTCAAATATATTTTTCTTCCATATGGGAAGGCAGACTGTATTTGCATGCAGACCACCCTATCCCATCTGTCTCTTGACAAAAAAGAAAGTAGCAGGCTAGGGACAGTCAAGCTGCACCTAATGCAATCCTTAACGATAGGAGATTTGGGGGGCAAATATGATAGCGTGCCTACGGCCCCATTTTGCCTTAAAGCTGAATTCCAGGTAAAAATCTAAATGCACTGATGATAAACATATAAGAGAGGTGTTTGACCTGCCAAAGAATGTGTGCTTCTGTCCATCCAGTTGTGAGATTTACACAGCTCTGCCACACAGCACAGCCCTATCTGGCAGGGCAGGAGACCTGATTTTTCACTTACAAGTCTTGTCCCTCCCTCAGTCAGTGAGTGGACAAAGAAAAGGAGAAGCAGCAGACTGATGAGCTCATTTCTCTGTCACTCTTCACTCCCCTCCTATCTACATGCACCTTGCACTGCTACACACTTCACTGGCCTCTTGTGCTGCTCCTCCCTCTCCCAGTCTGAGCCCTGCTGTACAAGGACTACATGAGGCTGATACCAAGTCAAATTCAGACACTTACACTGCATTATAAATATATATATATATATAATGATGTTTTAACAAATACAGAGCTACGTTACTTGGGACTTATACATCTGCCTGGTGTTCAGTTTAATCCGTCTTTGTATCTATGAACACAGAAATCCATTCAGTGCTAATGCCGACTCTTTCTGTCTTACCATTATCTGCTCAGATACAGAATTACTTCTATATGCAAGCATTGTACCGCTGTGGAAAATTCGAACATTAGGCCAACTATCCAGCAAAAGAAATTGAACCGAAATGCCCTGAAAGGGCGGAGAGGATTTTTAATAAAACATCTGATGAGTCATCAGTAATTTTTTTCACTTTGTAAATTCAATAGCTGCGTTGGCTTTGCTGAGCTCCGAGCAGGAAAGGCGCACAGCCGACAGTTATTGCCGAGGATAATTCAGTAAAGTGATTTTGGCATATGGGTAGAGAAGGCGCATCACCTTTTGCTTCGACCGCTTAGGAGTCGCCTTTGCCTGTGCAGAGAGCTGCTGCATTAAGCTCTTGTCTGTCCTTCTATAATCACCTAAATCCTCTTTCATCCTCATTTACACACGCGGTATTACATCGATGATGGAGCACGGAGGGAACACTGCAGCACAAGAACAACAAAGATTCCCTCTCTGATCTCCTATAAATATAGCTCGGAAAATCCAGATTATTTTTTTTTTAATGTCAATGGGAAATACTGCAAACCACCCTTTTTGTCTATCCAAGTATTGACTCCTGGCTGAATCATTTATTTCCAATGCTTTCACTATAGCACATCAGTACATATAAACTGTTCGGGTCAGTCCCTGCAGCTAAGGGAGCTTACAATCTAATGATACTGCAACAGTCAGGGGTGTATTTACCACAAGGCATACTAGGCATTTGCCTAGGGTGGCATTTTTTCAGGGGGGCAGCACTGACTCTCGGAAGAAGGGACAGAAGAAGGGACACACGTGGCCAGGGGCGGACTGATAACTCATGGGGCACCCGGGCAATAGGGGATCATGGGGCCCCTGTGTCCTTCCCAAACTCAAAAAATCCTATGAAAAAGGTACCAGGGGCATCTCATGGGGCCTCCTACTGACCCCGGGACCTTGGGCATTGCCCGAGTTTCCAAATGGTCAGTCCGCCCCTACACGTGGCATGGGGACCTGGTGGGTTCTGTGAGAGGCTGCGGGTTTCATGACGGTGTATGTACAGCCCGACTCTTATTCCCGGGGATGTCCAGAGCTGTGAAGGTGAGTGTCTTTATCTCTCTCACCAGGGGGGATGGTGGTTGGTGTATGGGAAACTCATACAAATGAGCGCAGAGAGGCCCATCTAGGTGGAAACATGTGAACAGTTAATCATGAGCTCACCACTGCGGCCTTGTTAATCATTTGCATGATGAAGAGAACTGAAAAAAATAGATGCCGAGGAAAATGCTCTCAGACAAGCACCTTAATGAAGGTGCATTTTATTGGGTGAGACAAAGTAGCAAATATAATAAAATTGGACCAGCCTGAAGTGGACTTGGCAAAGCGCAACTGCGCAAAACATGTCATCTTGGTAATCCTACATATTCTCCCAGCTGAAGCCAACGCCGAACACTGCCTTCGCTTGCCATGGTGACACCACCCGGGACGCCGGGACGCTGACACCACGTGATTTGAAGTCGATATGAGCATTCTCCGTTCTCAGCTCCCTTCAGAGCGGACAAGCCATCCGTTGGAGTCACACTGTCCACTTCAGGCTGGTCAAATTTTATTAAATTTACTACTTTGTTTCTCCCAATAAAGATGCACCTTCATTAAGGTGCTTGTCTGAGAGCATCAGCTGGTGTATGGGAGGCAATGGTAGTGGATGGCTCTTTTGGCTGGGAGGCAGGGGAGTGGTTGGTCAATGTCAGGCTCTCTCTGCGGAGCGCAATAATTTTTGTGTTGCCTAGGGCAGGACAAAACCTAAATACACCACTGGCAACAGTTATATACACCCCAAAACTAATTACCGTTGTCCCTTTTTTGGGCTCAAACAAATGGCAACCACCCAATCTTTAGCCAGTCTTTGCAGCAAGGAGCAAATGGAAGGGCAACGCACATCAAAAACAAACCAAAATTCCCAGCTCACCTACCAGCCAGCCTGCAACAGACCTGAATTGACCCGGTCTAACAGTTCACAGTAAAAACAAGGGGTTTAGTCGCACACATTTGCAAATATATGTGTAAGCTGCAGCGGCCACGTTGAGGCACCCCAGTGTACTGCAGTCCTAACTCTATCATTTTGAGAGTCTTTCCAAATTGGAGCACATATGGCAGTGAATAGATTGTCATATCTTTTTGTCCCTCTTTGACACATACGTTTGTCCCTGTTTGGATGCCACTTTGTTCCAAATTTAGGCTTACACCTATAAGGTTTGCCTTAAATGGCATGCCTTAGGATACGTTAAATCGGAGAGCTCCAGTCCCCAGAAGAATTTTTATTTAAAGCTGACCCAGGATTGCTTATTCTTTAAGAATAACAATTGGATAAAGTTATTTGGTATAGCCTTCTAATTAGTTTTAAATATGTAAAAGTTTACCTTGATCTCGGAAGCAGTCAGGCACCATGATGGCTGTGGGCATCTGAAGCCCGCAAGTCTTTATTTCCTGGAGTTGGTGCTGCTGGCTATCCCAACATGCACCACTCGATCTTGCGCCTGTGCAGTAATGACACTATACAGTAATGACAGATGTTACACTTCCTCCCCACACAGGACTCTGGTAAAATGGTGCCAAACTCCTCCCATGCGCGTAATTTCCAGTTTTGAAGTAATGCGATAGTCAGCAATTAGGAACCCAAAGGACTCCTGGGATACAGGACTTGACCTCCCAAGAGACTTTGCGAATCGCCTTAACACGTCATCGCCTAGGGACTGGAAGTGCGGTCTTTAAACATGATTTTAAGGTATTTATAATACGAAAAAAAAATTACTATCCAAATCGTGCTGGACAACACAGGAACACTTTGAACAGAGGCACATTAAAAAAAGGGTGGAATGCTCCTTTAAGCACTGGGTTGACGTACTGAAGGTTTATTCTATCAGAGCAGTTTGTTATGTTCCATTCATGTAGCCAACACTGAGATGATAGTGAGGTCTGATGAGGCCCAAACCACGTGGAGAGAATGGCGGAGCTGTACCGAACGCAACGCAACCCTCATTTTACTCTAATTCTCAAGTCAATCACAAAAATGTTCAGATTTAAATCTCACGTCTGTGCTAGGCGGCTAGACGCATTTGACTTAACACAGGCCAGCTGAGAAAAATGCAGAGATGTCATATACCTCCACTAGAAGCTCTTTAAAAGACTTCTAATGAGGCCTGTAGTAAGTAGCCCTAGGGTAGTGTTTCTCAACTAGGGTGCCATTTGGGCTCCCCTTTGGTGCCATGAGTAAAAGACCCAGTTTGATCCAGATCAGAGATGGATGAAATGGGTTGGGGGGTGACTATGATTTGGTAGAGGGCTCTGTTCCTGTGATGGGGGGATTCTGTGGCAGCAAGGGGCCTCTAATGTACAGGGGGGACTTTGAAGTGATTGGAGGAGTCTGATGTAAGGGGAGGCTCTGATATGATGGGTTCCTCTGCTACGAAAGGGGGAACTCTGATGTGATGAGGGTCCTCTGATGTGATGGAGGCCTCTGACAACGTGATGGGGGACTTTTGGTAACGGGGGGCCTCTAATGTATAGGGGGGGGACATTGATGCAATGGGGGGAACCTCTGATGTGAAGTTATAGTGCATTGTCCCAGACTCAGGTTTCCTATTGATGAGTAGCCTTGAAGTCTTTTTTTTATTTTAGACTGGGACTTGAGATTTTGATACTTTTAAAGGGTGCCATGACTTAAAAAATGCTGGTCTAGGGTTTTTTTTTTTTTTTGGGGTTTTTTTGCTGAATAGCACAGAATTTCTCACAATCTCCATAACTCTTAGGCTCCATGTACACGGGACGTTTCTGAACAATGGAAACTGACTGCTCGAAAACGTAGGTTAAAAAACGTCTGTTTAGCCGCGTTTGCATAACGCATTTATGCGCATTTGTGTTTAGAAGTGTTTTTTTAAAGATAAGCACAGGAGAACCTCCCAAATGCCCAGAATGCACTGAAAAGTGGTACATTATTAACTATTTCAGACTGTTTCAGAGAAATACACACAGTAGAAGCAGACACTGCAGTTTGTGTTGACATTAGCTAGGTGTGAGTTGCTCATTAACATTTCTTTTGTTTCCAAGGAAGGGAAGGTGTCTGGTGGAGTGAGTCATTAAGGTCACCTGGCAGGGGGTCTTTATGAGGAATTTGAGGTGTGAATGGTCATTAACATATCTTTTGTTTCCAAGGGTGGGAGAGGGCTGAGGTGTGAATTGGTCATTACAATGTGTGACAAGCTTGGTAGGAACATCCTGTGTTCAGTGTTTTGTCCATCTGAGCACTTTGAAAACTCTTTGAATGCATTTTTTCATGATGAAAAAAGGCTCTGGACAGCATTGGGAACTGGAAGAGGTAAAAAAATTTCAAACGCAAACGCTTATAAACGCAATTTGCAGCATTTAACCGCATTTACAAGCATTTTGCGTTTGAAACGCTGATAAGATCAACGTCTGAACGCAAGTTTGTTGCGCTCAAAAAAACGACTGTAAAGTCAACTGCCTGTAAACAACTGTAAACGACGATGTGTACATGGACACATAGGAAAACATAAAGGAGAGTTCAGGGGCTGCTGAAAAAAACGCTGAACAGCTCCTAAACATGAGTTTATCAGCTGCAGTGTACATGAGCCCTAAATTATATGTCTGGTGGAAATCCAATACAGTTCACATCCATCCAAATAACACCATTCCTACAGTAAAGCATGGTGGTGGTAATATCCTGTTATCGGGGTGTTTCTCTGCAGCAGGGACTGGAGCATTTGTCAGGATAGAAGGAAAAATGGATGGGGCAAAATACCGTCAAATTCTTGAGGAAAATCTGCTGCCGTTGTCAGTGGGAAGAAGGTTTACCGTTCAACATGACAATGACCCAAAGCACACAGCAAAAATGACCACACAGTGGTTGAAGGAGAAAAAGGTGAATGTCCTTGCATGGCCTAGTCAGAGCCCAGACTTAAACCCCATTGTAATTTGTGGAATAACTTGAAGGCTACAGTATACAAATAGTCACCATCATATTTAACTGAACTTGAGCAGTTCTGCAAAGAGTGGGCAAGTATTGCAAAGTGTAGATGTACAATGTTAGTGGAGACATATCCCAATAGACGAAAGGCTGGAATTAAAGGTGGTAAGACAAAAAATTGACACAAGGGGATAATCCTTGTTTCAACTCCGTGATTCTGTTGTTGAATATTTTTACAAAAAATTCCGACATGTTGATGTTACATCTTTCACTTGGATGTTATAAGTTACGCTGAGTAATTACAGCTGGATAAAACAAAAACAAAGGCTATTAAGACAAATTGGACCTCCTAAAATCGTATTTGATGTAATCTATATCATATTGATGTAATCTATATCCTATTGATGTAATCTATAACATATTGATGTAATCTATATCCTATTGATGTAATCTATATCCTATTGATGTAATCTATATCATATTTGTTGTCTAACAGTTCTTTTCATTCTGCTAAATAATAAGCTGGTTGTTGGATTGTGAAATCTTGTCATATTGAAATATTGATGTTCCCAGGATAGCTGGCAGTACGTTTATACCTATTTACACTATAGTGGTTATATTCCCTACCACTTATTCCCAGAGTCCAGCTTTCATCTTGATAAAGAGGCCCCTCTTTGGAAATTAATTCTGTATGGCTTTTATGACCACCAGCGAAGTGGCAAGGGTTTAACCTATGCCTGAATATTTGTGTTCCTCTTTCCAATTGCGGAGAGCTGCAAAATAGGAGCCAGGTCTTACAGTAAATATAAATGAAATTCTTGAGGTTCATGTTACTTGGACATTTTACAGCTTTTTCAGCTTGGTGCACATTTAAAGGTGTGCTAAAGGTACTGCATTTCAGAAATTGGCAGATCAATCTGACCTTTTATTTTCTACAATGTTTCAGGCACAAAGAGCAACAATAAAATTTCATGTCTATGTGCTTCTGGCTGACAGAGGCAATGGGCCCCATCAATGTT